TTCATTGAGAATATGTCTATCTATGGGGCGGTCGTCTATCAACTTAAGTAAGACAATTTCCTGGGGTCACCCGCTCTGGCGAGAGCTCGTTAATAGTTTAATCTCCTCAAACAGATAATCGATTAAGCACCCATACTCTGTCATTTTGATCAAAGTCTAGATGTTCACGTGATGATCTTCGAACACGAATGGGCACTGAGTAGCACCCTTATGCAATGCCACGATCACAAATTGCATCCAGTGCGATTTTGCGGTCGAGTGTTGAAAGAGAATGAGAAGAACTACACCCGGCAGAGCGCGAGGTGCTCGCGCTATTACAACTGATCAAAGTCGCAAATACACTGCTGGTGGAGAAAACGATCCATGCCAATCTGAGATACTTAACAATGGAGTGGGTCTTCACGTCCAAACCAATATATAGACGCGCAGTCAACTTTGATGGACTATTGTCACCCTATCATTTGAAAATCAAAGAGTCGGCGAGCGCGATGTCGATTTTCTACAGCTACTCCACGCGTCCATCACACCGAGAGTCGGCTCGACGAATCGCTGGCCCACATTGCCCCAACCCTACTCATGGAACGATATTCCGCTTCGATCTTGAACTTTTATACGCCCAAATCTCGCCAAAATTAGTGGGTTCGTCGTGTCTTTCGACGGTTCGTCGAAGACAACAATGCATGGTGGATTTGGAAGTTGTGCAAAATATCGTGGAGACTGCCCAAGTGGACAGTCGTAATGGCTGCGAGTGATTTCCTACCGTCTACCACAGTAAATTTGGCATAACACGCCGGCATGAACCGAGGCGCTCAAGCTGCATTGAATAACCAAGTTACGGATCTGGTCATCGTGGGAGACTCGAGGTTAGCGATCCAACAAGCCATGGTAGTGATCACATGTAAACACCAAGCACTGCAAGTAAAATTGGCACGTCATAAAGAGTTAGTAACGAGATTTAATTCCTTACGGTACATGCACGTTATCCGCTGTTACAATGCAGATGCCGACGTCCTGGCCACGGAAGTACTAAAAGCTAAGACAGAAAAGCTACTCTTAGGTGAGGAACGCTATGAAGAGCTTCAAAAATTAAACCGGATACAAGAAAAGTTGGCTGGAAATTAGAAACCCGATGCGATCATTGAAGCAAGCCAGCGGTGTCAGTGATTACATGGAGTACAACTCGTCGCGTGCGATTCGCCGACCAGCTAAGTGGCGGGCGATCGACAGAGGAGAGTGAAGAGTCGGTTGAAAATCGAGAATAGGAGAAGCGCGTTCGACGCCGTGACCCGACCGAATTCAGAGACTCGAGGATCATCCAGTGCGGAGGATGTCGGCTCAACAGCCGTCCGACAGGAACAGAGAGAACGGAGATCGACCGCAAAAGATGAAGAGACGAAGTGGGCAGACCTCAAGACGTAGCTGCAAGGAGAATTCGACAAACTTACACACCGTCAAGCTAGAGAATCCGGGAAGATCGCTGATCGATTTGTGTTGAGCCAGGACGGGTTGCTCTATTACGAGTGACGGCGGCGAGAATCAAGATAGTCACGAGAAGATGACAATAAACTACCACTCGTAATTTCAACGACGCTAATCAATGAAATACTGTCAAATTGTCATGACTCCATATAAGGCGGTCACCAAGGAATGGTGCGGACTTATCACAAGGTCAAGATTGATTATTACTGGACCGGACTGTGTACAGATGTGTCAAGTCATGTACAAGGTTGCGAAGATTGCAGCACGAGCAAAAGCAAGCCAACATTCAAGGGACATTCGCTGGGGATATTAGTTTCGGAGCGACCGGTTCAGGTGGTGTATATGGACTTTGTCAACCAACTCCCGAAGATTCGACGGGGAAACACAGCTCTTTTACTGTTCCAAGATCATTTTACGGGGTTTGTGATAGCTAAAGCCATGAGTGATACGTCGGCACTAAGGTAGCGAAAGCGTTTGAAGAGAATATCTTCCGTCATTTTGGTGCTCTTCGTCTCATTCGTCACGACAGAGATCTTAGGTTCCTGAGTGAGGTCTGTCAAAATTTTGCTGAAATGATGCAAGCTAAGGCAAGAGCCAACCTCAGTTATCGCCCACAAGCAAACGGACAACAAGAGCGAAGGGTAAAGACAATGGTACAAACAACGCAAGACTACGTGGAAGATCCACTACAAGCGGATAGGGATGACATTGCAGAAAAACTGGTGCATGCCATAAACAATTATAGAAATCTAACGAGAAAAAAGACGCCGTTCTGTATAATTCACGGGTGGGATGCCCACTTAACACTGAATGCGATGACAGAATCAATGCGACTTCCCAATCCAAGGAATAATTGGGTGGTGGACTCTACGAATCCAGTCCTGTGGCGTCTCAAGTCTAACAGGCAGCGGGAAGTGGACCTTCGACTGGAAAAATAGTACCGAGAGAGAGAGAAAGCAAGAAGGGTACGTGATCATAACGAACTACTCAGTTTAGCTGAAAGACGGATGGAGTCAACAAACAAAAAACTGGATACTGAGTAAGAAAACGAGTCATTAGGAGATCGAGCTGGTCAAACAGGTGACAGCAGAGTTCAAAGCACGAGTGCAAGGCGAACGGCGAATGCCTCGATTAATGAATAAGACCAGGTGTGGCTTTTTATGGAACGAATGAATTCTGGACTGTAATGAAGATAGCACACAGGTAGCATAGACCTTTCCGAGTCAAGAAACAAGTTGAAGAGTTCGCGTTTCCACTGGAGTTGCCAGAGAGAAGAGTATATCGATTCTATCCAGTAGTCCATCTATCACGCTTAAAAAGGTGACATGACAAGGTTTGCGTCCAACGATGAAGCTGGTGTTCGACTGGGGGAAACATATCGACTAGATTTCGATGAAGAACTACTGCCAAAAGATAGTTGAGTGCTCGACAAGGCGAGTGGTCGATACGAAGTCGAAGCTAAATTGGATGACGACACGACAAGGACGACGACCACTGACAGGAGTCATAGGAAATTCTTGGTCAAATAGGTGGGATAAAATGAACCCACGTGGGGGCCATTATTCAACCTGTCGTGTGGAAGCTTATTATTCGACTACTTGAGGAAGAAGAAGCGAGAGTATCGTCTGCAGATGGCGTAAGTCACCGACGAACAGTAAGCGAACGACACCGCGCATATCCTCTGTCAGTTAAGCTGCATACAAAAGAGGAGATGATAATACTGCAGTGACATGCATGAGTATTTCAACGAAGATGACAAATATTAAACGATTACAAGACCGCGTCAAAGTGACCACCAAATAAATGTTAGCGACGTTGTAGATTTTAAAATCCGAGGACAGCGTAGAGCCGCAACGAGGAGCATCAGAGAAAATCTGCATACCGGTACGGATATCCGGTCCCGGTGCGGACGGATCTATAGCCGGAGGTGGAGCTTCGATTGAATCAAACATCCTCAACAATTACGGACTTTACATCTCTTTTGGATACGCCCACAGGCGCAAAGACAGGAAACACCTGGTTACGTGGGCGAAAACAAGTGTAATAAGGGTGCTATGCCGGACAAGTCAACCACCAGGCACGCCAAGTTTATCTTGATCAAGAGCGCCAAGATCGGAGGTCCATTCAGTGCTAGCGGGTACCCACGCATTGCTCATGTTCAAATACACGTGGATCGACGGCTCGAAGAATATTTCCGGGTCGAGTCGAGGGCTGGTCCAAACGAAATTCTCACAATAGTAGCGTCGCGAGGACACGGATCAAAGCATTTACAACCACTCGCAGAAGATCACGGCGTCGCTTGCGAGCACTGTTGCATTCCACCTACGCGGCGTGGATGCGAATCAAGTCGTCAACCGAACAGTTAAGGTTATGATCTGCATGATTACCCATCAAAACGCTCGAGTCCAGAAGCCAGTGAGTGCGTTCCCAAAGAGAAACGTAGATACTCGAACGAGTGTCGACGCCAACCGATTTCACACGATCTCAGCAGTCTCCCCGATACTTAAACCACGCATCGTCCACCTCAGGTATCGTAGAATCTGGACGAGGCAAGTACTTGTTAGCGCTTAATCCGGAACGTGCGCTATCCAGCGCGTCTTCAGACAAGAAAAAGGGAGTAGAAGGAAACAAAGCCAAACTGGTTGGCACGGGTGCGATGGATTGTACACGTCCGCGAATGCCTGAATTCCATCGAGAGAGATCGTAGTGAAAGCGACGAATGACTTCGACCCTTCTATCATTTGCCGGATGGGAGATTGCGAGGACACAACGCGCGACCAACAGCGAGCGGAATCGAAGTGGTAAAATGTGACACCCGACTTGCACACATGGCGGGAGTAGAACAAAAGTCACGCGAAAGCACTTGATTCGCTCGAGACCGAAGCAGGGAATTTGGCACAGCCAGAGATGACGGCAATTCAGCGGCAGTCAACACGGAGCACTCAGGAGCAACAGCGACGGCTTCCAACGAGGTTAGCGAGTGAGTAGAGTGTGCCAACAAGGGTGTGGAAGAACTGGACGCTGACTTCTTGCGGCGCTTGGTCTTAGGATCGGTAGTAACCTTCTTTTCTTGGATGGGCTTGGCGTAAGGGTCTCAGAAGACCGCATCGATGAAAAGATCACGGTCTCGACGGGTGCGGGAGCCAGCGAAGTCGACGAAACTACCACAGAACTGACCTTGCCCGAAGACAAGATTATACTTGGCGCGAGAGATGAGATCGGGTTCGTGACTGGATCAGTAACCGGGTACAGCGACAGCAACGACCGTCGTTTAAGGTAGGCTTGCTTTAAGCTTGGATTTATCCACCGAAGCAGCGGCATGAGGTAGATGAACAGGGAAATTGGTCGACAAAGGGTCTGGGCTTGAAAAGGGTTCGGACGCCACGGTCGTCGATCCGGAAAGGCAACGTGCCGACCGACAAGTCATCATCCGTGCTGGCGCCGAAAATGACCCAGCTGAGGACGGACCCCGTGTTAGTGGTGGCGTTAGGGATAAAGCTCTGGGAGACTTGGGCTTTGTCATGGGAGCGACGGAGACCTTGCGAATACTGGAGCAACCATATCCTGATTTGCGACACGACTTGAATGGCGTCGTGGATGCGGGTAAAGCTAGAGAAGTGGAAGAAATCGTCGGAGGAAGCTGCAACGATGGAACGTTCCCCGAGACTAAGCCATAATACTGGGGCGAAGTTGTCGGCGACGACGAACTGGCAGCAGACGTAGAAGTCACAGATGACGTCGTGAACACCACTGCGGACAATGGCGACAATCTCATCGACGAAGAGAAACCGGTGAAAGAGCGCAAGGGATCAGATGAAGCTCCAGACACTCCCCACGACACCGCTAAAACATTTATCACAGCAGAAGTGTTGGATACTTGAGGAAACCCCGAAGTAGAGGTAACGTCCTAACTGGAAGTGCTTCGAGAGACCAAAGACGACACACTGCAGATGACATCATTCGTCGTCGAAGTAGTAAACACTGTCGACGATGCTTGTGTAGTGGAAGGCGAGGGCGGAGGCGATGAGATGTCGTCGCCTGACACGAAAGTAATAGAAGATAACTCAGGGAACGATCCGACGGAAGCAAGGACAACAGAAGCCGACGATCGTAGTGAAGCAGCGGGAGGAGGCGCCCCATCGACACAACGCGGGCATTCTCCGGTGCAATTCGTCGAGAAGAAGCCGCTGTAGACTCGAGACGCAAAACCATGTTTTGGAAAGTCGACGACCCACCGAAAGACATCACGTCCGGAAATCGCGTGGCGAGAAGACGACACAAGCGCAAATTTAAGTCCATGTCGCGGAGATGTATTCCAAAAACGTCAACACCGACCACAGCAGCAACCGTAAGGTGAGGGTCCAGCGGGCAACGAATGTTTCCACGACGGAAAAGTGCCTTCTTGTGCCGGTGACTTGTTTGGGCGGCTGATTGTCCGCTGAACAATCCGAACAGCGTGGGCATCACCGGTTCAGAAGGCGGCGGTAGATTTCTGGAAGTGGTAAAAATACGTGGTCGCGACGCCTTAACCCGTAATCTTTCGGGCTTCCGCGTCGGCGAGTTGGCTTGTTAGCTAATTGATCTGCATGTATCGGTAGACAAGACCAGCCTTGGGCGTTGCGACCAATCGTTCAGCCGAGGCCAGACGATCTTCGCGATGTCGAGCAGCCTGAGCCGCAGACGCTTCTTAGGAGTAAATTAACTTGTGTAGCCATTCAATGAGCTCGGTGGTCTTAAAAACTGCACTCTTACAAGTCTCAGACTCCTTCTCGGTTGTCGTCAACCGGTGGCATAAATTCACCGAATCCGTGACGGCAGCTTGAGTACGTCGTCGAAGAAAATCGTTCGAGTGCTGTGACTGCGCGAGTGCGCCGCAGAGTGACGGGATTGCGTCATAGTGATTTAAAGCAGGGACTTCATCAACCGTAACGAGAGCATTCAAGACCGCAATCCTCCTCGTTCGAGAAATTGTTTGCCGACTTAATACATCAAGAAGAGGACGCGGCGATTCCAGCAGCGCGGCAATTAGTCGAGTAAATTCGAGTCCACGACCTTGCATGCGTTCTTCAAGGATCGAGATGAGACGAAGAACGTCTGACGCTGCTTCAGAATCACGATCGCCCAAACCAAGAGAGTGAAAACTTGGTGGGGAAGTAGCGGCCGTCACTACCGAACCAAGAGATGTCACGGGGACAAGCTCTACGGATGCCGGTGAAGCCGCAGAAGCGGTCGGTGAATCGACGACCAACACAATAGGCGAAGGAGGTGAATCAGCATCAAGTCCGACCCTAATTTCACCGCCGAAGCCTGGTCGTCGACAGACTTCAAGGGATCACGCACAAGCCACTAACAAGACAAAAGTCAGACAATTAGCGGACGTAATAAGCAAGAGTACATGCACCATTATCTTAGCGAAGACGAGAAGCGGCGAGCGATAAAAAAACGACGAACAACAAGGCACAGAGGAAATGGAACAATGAAGTCGAGACGATCAACCGGTAGAAGGGATTTAGAGGCAAATACCGAAATTATTAAAGAAGCTAAAGAAACGGTGGTCGGCGTTATTTAGTTCGTCAAACTCAAGGTCGTCAAATGAAAAGTCATCGAATGAAAGGTCATAGAATGAAAGGTCATCGAATGAAAGGTCATCGAACGAAATGTTATCGAATTGGAGATTATCGAATGAAACGTAGTCGAACGAAACGTCGTCTGGTTATAGGTCCTAAATGAAAGGTCATCGAATTGGAAGTCGTCGAATGACAGGTCGTCGAACTCGAGGTAGTCAACGAAAGGTCATTGAACGCAAGGTCGTCGAACGAAAGGTCGTCGGAAGAGAGGTAGTCGAATAAAAGGTCGTCGAATGAAACGTCTTCGAACTCGAAGTCGTCGAATGAAACGTCGTCGAATGAAAGGTCATCGAACTCAAGGTCGTTGAATCGGAGGTCGTCGAGCTCAATGTAGTGGAAGATAGAGCACAGATCCAGGGTGCGAGAAGATTGACGAAGATTCATTACACTTAGTTTACGTATAAGGAAAGAGGAGAAGAACAGAGGACCACTCAACGGTTCATCGATAGGAAAAGAGATAAATCAATACAGTGCAAAAATTTCCAAGTCCATGACACGCGTACACTTAAGGTAAGTCCCTGCATTGGCTAGATTATGCCTGCCGTCGAATCTCGAGAGGCATAGCTTGTAGAGGTATCTACTGGTAGCGCCAAGAGTTAGGAATGACCGGGTTGGGCAGCGCTCGCTATCAGCGAAGGAAGGATTATCATCGTCGACGAGCCGGTGACCCAATAGACGGCACCGTTGAAAGTCTTGTCTAGAGACAAGCCGGTGGGTCTTAGCTGAGGGCATCGTAATTCTTCTAGTCGGGCGGACACTACGCCCGGTGACCTGTAAAAACGCGTAAGCGTCGGCTTCCACCCGTTGGTGTAAAGTCACAGGAAGAGATAGGTTTCGAGGATGCTGAGCTCAGGCGGACTTCTGGAGTAGTAGTTGTAAGGAATCTGCTAGGCGAAAGCCGCAACTGAACCCGAAGGGGCGAACTGCGTAAGGATTTATCCAAACATACTGGCCCGTTGCGCCGAATAAGTTCTGCTATTGTTGTGTTTGTACATTGAGGCTGTTAAACGACGGAATTGACTAAAACATTTACCGCACTCGTCCAATAACGAGGATGAGTCCAACTCAATCTCCGGCCGAATGACCACTAACTCGAATAATTCTCCTGTCTGTAAGGCTTGGTTTAATTCGCCGTCAGACATTTGGTCTAGGTCAAAGAGAGGATATATGGGTGGAAGAGTATCAAGACTAATATTGCCAGCAAACTGGCCAGTCAACCCATTTACAAGCGTATATAGTGTATCATTACAATTATCACTTCGTGACTTCTTAGACGTTGGGCGCTTACCAGTTGCCACCCTACGCTACGATTGTTTCCTTAAAGAAACCTTACGCCTCCTAGAGGCCGGGAAAGTAGGGTCGTCGTGGTTGCTATTTTTCTTAGCACGCTCTACACGTGAGCTCATGTCTTGAACGACATCTGGTGAGGTGTTACGTAACTCGAACACTTCACCCAGTGGATTTACACGTACCACGTCACGTACAGCATCCGGGCCTAGCCATGAACACTCTGTCTTCTCGCCACCAATGTCCTTACCGACATTCAGTATGGTGCCACCTCGGCCGCCCTCTCTTGGTGGGATTTTACATGCCACCCCCCTCACATCAGAGGAATTTCATTCTTGATGTCTCGGCCATACGCCAACCATGCCTGCAGCATGCAGTGATTCAGTATCACTACGAGTATCACTCAACGGAGTATAACAGTCTTCACATACAGTTAAAGAGCTCTGCTCAAATTTCATGTCATAGACATTCGAGCTAGTTTGATCCGACATACCAATGTCCATCACATTGACATCTTCCGCCAACGACTCGCGCCAATAGTGCTTTTGTTGCCCAAAAAGGTGGGTTTATGACTCTCCAAAGCTTCGCTTGGAACATTGCGCGTGGCGCCTAAGGTCTTAGACCTCCAATCGATCCATGGCTTATGTCGTTCAAGCAAAGCCATACCTAGGATGAGATCATATCTCGAATCCAAATCAAGGACAAGACAGCGTTCTGTGCTATCAAAGTCCAAAAACTTCACGCCCAATTTCAACGGAACTTTAGGCACAGTAACGCGACTACCCGTCGCTAACCGAACAGTGATGGAATCACCGTCGTGCGCTTTGAGCGCCTCAGCATATTGCCGACTCCCCTCATAGGAACGGCGTCCAGTATAGTTGCATGACGCCCCAGAATCGATTAGAATCGACCAATGCTTCTCAAAGCCTTTAATCTTGGCCTCGGCGACTAACAAGCCAGACTTGTATCCACGCTCTGTGCTGGTAGGCACAGAGCTCGGTGGGGCTAAGCCGTGTTTCACTCTACCTCGTAGAGAAGTGACAGAACTCAGTTCTACCCTAGTAGGGCGCCCCGCACCTACTGGGTGTCGACGTCCCCCCGTGCCATACCAGGTTTCTGGTTGGGGCTGGGGTTTCGACCCATAGGAGTCGGTCGTTGCTTACGCAAAGGGCAAGTGGGTCGCAAGTGTTTAGTGCTTCCGCACATGTAACAGCGTCTCACCTCCTGTCGTTGCTCGGCAACATGAAGCTCAGCTTCACCTTCATCTTCAGCATGGCTGAGATCCATCGGTTCTGGATTACAGTAAGCCGAGGTGCTCGCAGAGGTTGCTCTCGCAAAGCTTGGGTTGTAACCATTCCAACCAAGTCTGGCCGACTTGAAGTTGTGCTTAGCATTTTGAGCGATGCTAACAGCCTCCGCAAAAGTAGAGGGATGGACTCGAAAGACCTCGGTCCTGGCAACGCCATTACGAAGACCTTCCATGAAGACATTCACACAGACTGTCTCAGGGAGAGGGTCAGACTGCATATCAGCCATCAGAGTTCTCAACGCGTGGACATAGTCCCTTTACTCATTTAATCCATGACGCGTAGACAAGAAGCGTGAGCGCACGCGATGAGCCTGGTTAGGCGGCGAGAAAACTCGCAAAAGGTCTACCTTGAGCGAATCCAATGTGGGAAACGCCAAGTAGACTGACGTGCCACACGTCAGAGCCCACTCTCTAGCTCTTCCGTAGAGCGTGGAGATAGTCAGCGAGACCCAATGGTACTCCAGTGAGATAAGGTCAGAGATCATGTCCATCTCAATCTCACGGATCCAGAGGGTCAAGTTTCCCCCCTCTTTCCTGGAGTAATATTTGAAGTCCACCCGAAAAGGACGAGGCTTAGCCTCTTTCGGTGGCATTGCCACGTAGTGTGTTGGCATACCCGACGCTAATTGGTTTTGAACCTGCTCTAGAAGGGCAGTTT